TTTAATAAAGTACAATGCACTCCCTTTATTATTTTATTGCCTCTCCTACATTTTTGAATCCCATTCTTACAAGGCACGACTGGGTGGGTGCAGATCTCTAGCAACTCCTCATAGAACATTTGGAGGAAGTAATGTTCTGTCACACACATGAACCTCTTATGAACATTTCTATACATCATTTCACCAGTACAATAATCCGGATCCCATAAAGGTCTCTCAGAATTAATAAGGGCCATCTGTAGGAATTTCTTTTTGGTAGGTCGTCTGGTAGGACCTGGACCCAAAACTTCATCAAAATATTCTAAAGCTTCTTCTGATGCATTCTCACTTAAAATATAATACTTCCTTCTCCCCTGAAGCTGCAGTGGCTGCAGCAGGAGGAGTAGCACAGGCAGCAGGAGCAGGACAGGCAGCAGGTGCATGGTGGGCAGAGTCCTCATTTCCTTCTCTGTGGGGAGTAAAGTGATAAGGACAAATGTTTTACTGTTTTAATGTCCTCGTTTCCATTTCTTGGTCAGGGCCTATTCCCGTTCCTGTTCTGAATCATAGGATTTCAAAATCACTATAAGTGATGATTCAAAATCTATTTAAATAACTCTGAACTATTGACCCCAAAATGACCATACTAGGTGTATATTAGTTCTGAAGACTGTGGGTAAGGGTAGGAAGGGTGAAGGAAAGGAGAGGAAGGGAGGGAAAGGAGGACAGGAGAGAATGTGCAGGGAGGGGAGAACAGGCAAAAGAGAGAGGAAGGACAGAACAGAGGAAGAGGAGAGAAAAGGGGACAAAGAAGGAAAAAGGAAAAAAGAAAAGGAAGGAGACAAGAATGACGAAAGGAGAGATGAATGGGGGAGGGAAGGAATTAGGAGGTCAACACAGCTGCGGCAACAGAGGGGGGGACAGAGAGGAGGCTCACGCGTTCCTTCCATGTGGGACAAATGTATCTTATCCCTTCATAACTCGCGCTGACAGGCACCATAAGTGATGCACCCTCCCCTCCTTAACATTCTACTGTGCCGAGGAAAATTCTTTATCTACTTGCTCACATGGAGCTGTAGACACTCCTGGAGAAGAGGTCAAGCACCCAAGTAAACCCTGTGCTAAGCTTTCTCGTGTGTCTGCCTTTACCCTGGCCTCATTGCCTGATATTGCTTAGTGCCTTGTGGGATTATGCCTAGTCTTACCTCTTGCATAGTTCTCTCACTAAGACATCACTCCTTTTTGTTCTTTCTGTTCATTTCTTTTTTCTCTTAGGTAGACGTCATGGTTTCTACCACGATCCGATTTTTGTATCCTTTAAACTCTTTCCTTACTGTTCACCTATCTGCAGGTATGGTGACCTCATCATGAGAGATTTCACAGTCATTACATTACTTCTACGTGTATCTCCATGTCTCTTCCCCAGTAGCAGGCTGCACTCATACCTCCCCAACACTCTAAAAATTTATGAGCAA